CTACAGTTATCTATTTTACATGTTGGTGTTCTTTTCACCTCAAATCAGCTATCTTTCAAAGTCCACAGTTCTTGATCCCAATCAACAGAATACAGTAAGAAAACATATGACAATGACCATAAGATATTAATGTATTAACATAATGTATTAACTACTTAGTACACCATTTTGCAGTGAGAAATGTATTTAAGAAGTCCTTTACCAATTCTTACAAAGATCAAATATTGAAACAAAATCATGTTAATCACAAACTCTGGAAAGGTAGTATCATTGATTATATATTTTACAATGCTATAATTTATATCTCAGTCACACAAAATCTACAAGAGTTTTATAGACACAACAAAGAAAAAGTCACAGTACATCATTTCTTTCAGAATGTATATACATATTTAAAAACTTAAGAGTGAAAACAAAAAGATCCTATTGATATAGCTAATTTCTCCAAATATGTTGCAATGAAAGTACATTATAGCTATTACTATTAAACTGAAACAAGTGCTTTGCTTTTTTACTTTCTATTTTACTTTCCACTTTGAGTAGTCTGAGATTAAATAAAAAATCCCTGGTGAACCACAACTTCTGACATCATTGGAATTATTGAACCAATAGATTACAGTTATAAGATTTATAACAATTAAACAAATTGCTATTTTAATCTTCTTCTGAATACCCCAGATAGAAACCCAAAGATTCTCTGGTTTATTCAAGGCTTGTTGCAAAGAGAGGAGTAAAATATGGAAGGTATTTATATAAGGACAATGAATATTTTAGCTTAATAAATCAAAATAGGATTGTCTGAATGTGACTTACATCATTCAATTCTTATTAACAATGATCAAACATATGTTGTGAGAAAAAAACCCCAAGCTTTTTATTCCTGAAATATTCCTGCCCAGTTTCTTATTGACCAAAAGTGATTACCTGAAGCTTAACCATAACTATTTCAATTGATTTTACATGCACCTATTTTTGAGAATGTAATCGTATAAAAGATTTAGATGCTACATTAAATACAAAATGTGTCTGCTATATCATTAAGCCTAAAAAATTCCAGTAATGTTTTCACCAGTGCATACCTCCTGAGTAGCAATTGAGTTGCTAAGCTGAAATAGTTTAGAAGCTGACATTTCCTTGGAATCTGGATTGACAAAGTCATTCTAGAGGGCAGTCTAACACTAAATGGTCTTATGCTGGGTTTACAAAAGGAACTGGCGCCATTTAGAAAAAAAATCCACCCCTTCCAATTAACTGCTACAAAATAAAATACAAATTAAACTGAGTCTCTCAGTTTGTACCTTGTTGCTTTAACCACTACACCAAACTGGCTCTCAATAAGCTATTTAGAAGCTGTATTGATAATTAGGTCAATGAAAGATCTCAAAGGTTCATGCCACAAAGGTGTGCAGAGACAGTATTTGCATTCTGGGTAGCTAACTCATAGAAATCTTTAGGACCATCCCATAACTGTTATGGGCTTGAGATGACAAACTAATTTTGAATGGTTAATAAAATAATAATCTTAGTAAGAAAGTATCAGAAGGTAATACTTCGAAGTAAAAAAATAATTTTATGTTCTATCATGAAAACAATCATTTTTCAAATGACACAAGCATCTAATCCAGCTTTCTAAAATCATCCATTGAACTGACTCTTTGATATAATAATGTATGATTCACTTCAGTGAATCTTAGTGAATGCTTGCTTAAATGTCTGGAAACACCGTGTTTGGCACTACATGCCTCATTTCCTCCCCTGCTATATTCTATAAAAATGTTATTATTTGGAATTATGAGGTTTTGAAACTAAACAGGCTTATAATAATAATAAAAATATCTCTGTGCTGCACTATAGAAACATGAATAATGGAAGAATGTATTATGAATGGCTGAGTTTGTAGAAATGGCTAAATTGTTTAATTAGACAACTGCATTACTTTTATAAAAGACTGGAAACTCTTTATAATGGTTTTGCTGAAAATGAATAAAAATGAACTGTTGATTTCAGGATGCATTGATTAAAAAAAGCTAGTTTATGGGAAGAAAAGAGCTATGATATGCAATATAGGAGAGTGGAGGTGATAATTGCTATGCTTGCAACAGCTGCAAAGAAAATCAGAAATGGCTTCTTTGGCTACTTTCCTTTTTCCATTTTTATTATGGTTCACTTTTTCTTTTATCCCTTTATGATCTGTTTCTTATTCTATTTATTTTACATTTCTGTAGCTTTTAAAATCTTCATAAGACCTTCTTTTAATTAAAAAATATTTATAAAAATACCCTTCTGTGTCAACTGGATATTCATTTTAAATTGTTGAGACCATTTGACTGGAGGTTGCCATCCAAGATACAAATAGCCAGATTACTCTTCCTTAATGCAACTAGGGTGAAAGGCATCTTTGGGGAAGCACTTATCCTTTCCCATTCCATAAAATTCATTAATAGGGTTTCTTCGGAAATGCAGTTGTTCATGTTGCAGTTGCTTGATTTTAGAGATAATCTGAGGTCAATTTATATGACAATCAGACCAACAATTTCAAACTTCAGATTTGTTCTTTATTAACTGTAATTTCCTCTCTCGCTGTGTATATATTTAAGATGATATATAGGTGATTTGGGTCCTACCACAAAGAAGCCTACAGCTATATATTCATTTTCATGCCTTTTATTATTTTTCTATCCCTTCCTTTCACGTTTCTTAAATAACAAGGTAGCAGAGAATCTGCATCCTGCAAAGATGAAGAGGAGGTAGAAACAAAGTAAGTATTCTTCAGGCTTTCCTTCATCCCACTCTCCTTAAACAAAGCATATTATTATTCAAACATGTGTATTTTTCATCCCTGGATATTAATAAGAAAATGTCTCTCCCAAAGAATTTATAAAGTTCTTTCACTGAATGTCAGCAGCTTCTCTGGACAAAAGGGTAACTGTGTTTGCTGCATTCCAATATTCACTGATGTGGGCAGATCAGTTATATAAACTAGGATTGCATTGCTTGGGGAAAAGATTTAGCATATTCCTCTAACCATTATCCTAAGTTACAATGAACTCTGGCAATCCTTTCCAACTGAGTTTAGATAACATTTCTGGTAGCTCAAGAAGCTCTTCCTATCTTATAATTTTACAAATCCAAAATACTTTTCATGTAAATAGGATCTGAAATTTTACCAAGGTATATAGTCATAATTTTAGTTTAATGCTTGTTCCATTTGAAAAGAGGTCTTGAATATCATGGTATGTGAGAATGACCTTGGGAGTCAGGTGGAAGAATGATTAGATAAGAGGCAGCTGAGCCCACAAAAGGAAGAGATGCATGATAAACACCTCAGAAGGGACCCTCCTTAGCTTCTTGCACTGTAAAAGTGAGGGGGAGATAGGTACTTTCTGACAGGCAAGATTCACTTAATGTAACTTTACAATAAAGATGGAGTGTGTACTCATGAGTGTTTTTCTGGTCTCAGGAATTACTCAGGAATTACTTCTCAGGATTGACAGTGAGTTTGCTCCCTCATGATTAGGCGTGCCCAGATATTTTCTTCTTTGAATACAAGATGCAGTACAAGGGCAGCAAGATATCATTTTCCAGATGCTTTCAAAATTTTACAGTGCTTGTTTGTGTTAACTATTTATATACAATAACTAGACACATTTAATAGGGGGATACAGTGTATTTCCAGCTATTCTGACATATTTATGGACAAACCCTTTTCTGCCACTCACAAAAGTCTAGAAAGTCTAGAATGATAATAATTCTATGTTTTCCTAAAAACATAAACATGCTCATATAGTATTAACAAAAGTTTATAGCACTTACTGAATTAACTTCCAGTTTTGAATTTCTCCTGGAATGGATTCCTAGGATACTTTTTCATTACTAGCATTATTATTTCAGAGAATAACACTGTTGCACAATGGCATAGCCATTTGTTAATGGTTTTGTCTCAAATACCGACAGTCCAGCATTTAAAAGCAGATGTTCTGTTCCAGCTAGACAATATTTGGAACTGTTTATAGCTTTTTAGTTTCTGTCCTTGAGGCACTGAGTTTTAGGTTGTGACAATTGAAATGCATCAATGAAGGCAATGGTAACTGACAACAGTAAGCTATGAATCAACCATACAAAACAATCATATATCATACAAAACTGTTTTTGTCTATGTACAAATCCACTGTACAAGGTAAACAGCAGTTATTGCTCAACGCAGAGCTATCTACAGTCTGAAGCAGATTTAATTCCCTACCACTAAGTGCTTGAAATGAAACTTTGTGAACAACGGTGTCTCAAAATCATGACTGATTATGATTATCATAATGTTCATAAATAGGTAATTTCACAGGCATGCCATATCAGTCAGTTTTGCCACTTCAAAACATTTCCGTATATACAACAGTTATATAACATTGATTAGCCAGGGCAACACAAGGCAATAAACAGAGTTTCAGAATTCCTCTGAAAAAGAATCTTAGGAGAGATTTTTTAACTACAGTTGATTGTTTTTGCAGCTACTTTCTTGGTCTCCTCTTTCAAGGGGGTCCAATCTATAATGTGAGTCCCCTTTTACAAGAGCTAGACTGTGAAGCAATTCAACATCCTATTAAAAAAGAGAGTTACAGTACCCAAACTCATAGTCCTGGCAGCCAAGTACCATGGTATGAAGAATTGCTCGTAGAAATAGTCACCTGTATCTTCAACAGTGTGCTAAGTTTCATACTCTCTGATCCCAGCTGAAGTATTTAGGACTGAGATGCACTAAAATATCTTAAGGTTTCTCTATTTCCCCCAAATCAGATTTGATACAGAACAGCAAAGCAACAACCATAAAACCACTATTGAATTTAACTTACGCACAGTAGATATAAATCTACATTGTGGAAATCAATGGTTGAGCACATAGAGAGATACAATGGCAGAGAAAAGATATTTTTTGCCTAAAAATATAGAATGGAATAAAATACATCAACATGGCTTTTCTTACAGTAATATAAGAAACTGCCTTGCTGCTCCTAAGACTGCTGAGCTATTAGCAAACTCAACATTGTTCACACTAACTGGCATTGCTTGCTTGGACTACAGGTTAATGAATGTTGATCAGGGAATGCTACTGGTTAAACATTAAATATAACATTAAAAGACAAAACAACAGGCAAACAAGTTTTTCTTGTACCTCAGCACCTTCATTTTGCTTTCTCTTTATCTTCTTTAAGATACACATTCCTATCATTTATTTAGAGGCATGAAATTTGCAACTGCCATCCCCACTCAAAAGTAAAAAAAGTTATTTCTCATGTTCCGCCTCAAAGTTGATGTTAATCAAAAATGCAGTTAAATATACTTAATACAGACACAGTCTAACTTTTCCACACTTTTCATTCTGTTTGATGGAAAAGAGAATACTTTGCTCTTACCAGATTTTACATTTGCTCTGCATTACAATAGTCTTCTAACGCTGCCTAGTGCCATAGAATTGCCCAGACATTAAACTAATACACTTTAAACCAAAGTCACTGCATAGAAAGATACCATAGAAGTATTGCATCAAATTACAAACATTCTAGGATTCCTCTCCAGGCTTTCAGAAACTCTGCAAGCAGTGTGATAGGAGGGGGAAAAAAAATTCAACAGAAGACTACACACCTTTCTCATTCTACATAGGATGAGTTTTACAACAAGTGAACAACAAAGATTCTGACTTTTGAAAAATCCTGACAACCAAAACTGAGACATCCAGTTAGAAGATTAAGAAGATTAAGAGAACGTTCCCAGTCAATTGAAGGTTGTTATCATATTTTTTTGTAGGAATATTTTCTAGTACACTATTTTAAACACTGGACTCGTAACCAACATTGTATTAGAACTTGATAGATAACATCCTTTTTGGCTAAGCCAATTCTTGCTCTGTGGAGATTATTCAGTTCTTGTGATTTTTCTCCCACCCTCCTTTTAGATTTCTTGCTGCTAATCTGTTCTCCTTTCCTCTGAGCTCACCTTGCCCCGCCTCGGATAATACTTGTCACCGCCAAAGAATCTGCCCAATGAATCAAGTAGACTTGGTTCCCTGTATCTTCGTGGAGATCCATGTCTAGCATGGTCTATAGTACTTGCAGTTGCAAGTTTGGAACCATGCCGGAAAGAGGAGCGTTTTTGTGAAGCCATCAAATCCGAATTCTCAGAAGCTGCTGCTGCACTGTCTTCCTGAATGGTCTGCAGCTCATCTGATTCAGAGGGCCGATCTTTGAAGGTGTTGTCTTCTCTGCCTGGGGCATCTCGGGAAAAGAGGCGGACCAAATGGGGGCGACCAGTTGTGTCAGCTGGGTTGGCTTCCTTCCAGGCATTCTTTGGATCCACTGTGTCCTTGGAGTCTGTCACCGCTCTGCTCTTAGTGGAGGTCCCATTGTTCTGGTTCACATCTGCCTCTCCTGCAAACAACAAGGATGAGATATGAATACAGGCCTGTGAAAAACAGAATGTTAGAACAATGCTGCTTTCTTCCCCCTTGCCTTGAGTTAGCTGCTTTACACAAAAACCATAGATTATATGCAACTGCAACAGATCTGCCTATTATTGAACCAAAGACATATATATATATATATATATAAATATATATATATATATATATATATATATATGTGTGTGTGTGTGTGTGTGTGTGTGTGTGTGTGTGTGTGTGTGTGTATGTATGTATATCGCACACATACTATTAAAATTTTATAAATCACAATGTATTACACAAGCTGATATATATGTATTTATTCACTTGAAGTCAGTCATTAGAAAAACTATGTTCCTCAACTGATTGTTAAAGAAAACTACTGTATTACCAGAAATTGCTAATGATTCCTAATTTAGAACTTAAGATGAATCATATTTAAATGTACCATGTATCTCTTTATTAAATTTCAAGATTTTATCCTTTAACAAAATCCCATGAAGCTTCCTGTCTGTTACCCAAATGCTGATTTTTTTCCTGGTGTGATTGATTTCCACTGATATTAACATGCAAACTAATACGTGGCATTTCTTTAAATAATGATAAACCGCACGTGGTTGCTTCTGTTGCTTTTACTTGTATTCCATTTTTTTTCTGATGCTTTCATGTGCTTTTCAGTTTGTTATGAAGAAGCAAAGGAGCCTGATTGATGAACATTTGTGAAAACCCTCATCATTGCAGAAAGCATTTCAAGTTATTAATACCTGGCTTATGGCAATAAATTATATTAACATTCTAAATGTACAATATAACCTTTCCTTATGATTTCACAATATGTTCCTCATTTGGAACTGATAGACTAGTGCCCTGTTTGCCGTAGTGACAACATTCAATCAAGATAGCAGTGGCATTTTAAAAATTCTGACTGTCACTCTTATTTTAAGGCGCAATGCTTCACTCAATAACAGCTGCCAATTTTAATTGCATGAAATGTGGCATTAAAATTAGTTTTGCTTCATCACAACAGCCCCAATTAAAGCTTTGTTTAACAAAGGCCATGTTCATTAATAATATTTCTGCCATCTTCCTTAACTTCAGCCACATTTTTTGCTGACTCTAAATGTATAAAATTACAATGGATATGTTCATATCTTGTAATTGAGCATAAATTTTGTTACACGGAAACTTCGAGGCTGAAATGAAAATCAGATACTAAGATTCTATGAAAAAAATATATAATTTTACTTGTTAACACTAACCAAATTCTATACCATAATACACATTCATGAGAGAAAGAAAAAGAACAATGAAGATATTGTGTCTAATTAAATGCATTAACAAAACACCAGAGCATCTGCATGCTAATATTTTTACTACAGTTGTGCTTTTGTAAGTGAATGCATTTAATTCTGGACAACAATGGAGGACATTTGTGTCACAAAAGGAGCTTCTCCAAATCCCAGCAAGACTATCTTGTGTCGTTCTTTAGTAAAGAAGATATACACTGACAGTTTTTATTCTCCTATTCCTTGTGATGGGGGCATAATTGCTATGGTATAGCATAATGTGATTTCATAGTATAATTGTAGATATATTTACTGTAGAATATAAGGTTCTCTTTTGCAAATGAAACTAAAATGAGATTCTAAAAATAGGTTTTGTACAGCCCGATCAACAAGGGGTGGGTAGAATAATTCAAAGGACTGTAGCTAGTCAACCAATATTTTCCTTGTTGCGAACTGCTATGCAGTGAAACAACAAAAAACTGACATTGTAGGACTACTTATGATGGGAAAAAACTTTGGACAGTGAAGACAAGATGCTAATCACACAAAAGTACCCCTTGGCACCATGCTTATAGGTGCTTCTCTTGAGGCTTGGAGTTAGTCCCATCAACCTCTTTTTAAATATTCTTGTTTATAAGAATTAATAATTAAGTGGGAAGCCATCTTACTGTAAAGCAAAGTACTAGCCTCCAACATAGTCTCTTCTCAAACATTCTAAGAAAGTAAGAATGGTGGGCTCAAACCTACCACTCTGGGCATATTTGTTTGCAAATTGGCACAGATGACCAAATAATATATGAAGTAAACTGGATGGTCAAGAGAAGGGTACCAACCCCTAGCTTGTAGACTGGCATTGATCCATGGCATGCCAGAAACTTGGTCGCATAAATAAAGCCCCATCCATGGGATATAGGCAGCACCCGAAACTACCTCCTCCTTTGATCGCTGGAAAAACCTCTTCCCACAGAACTGGTCCCTGGTGCCCAAAAAGGTTGGGGACTGCTGTCCTAGAGGACACATGAGTCTTTTCTGCATGGCAATGTCTACAACATGATCTCAGAATTCCAAATATGCCCATCAGCTCAATAGATTTACATTCAAACAGAAAAATTACAACTTAATTTTTCTATGGATTGGGTGACTATCAAAATTGGTCAGCTCCAAATATGCAGGGTAAGAGAAGATGTATTAGTGAAGTTAATCAACAATCCCTTCTGTTCCCATGAAAAATATATTTGAAGAATGCACATAATTTAATATAGCAGCATAAGAATAGCCCTGCTGCACCAGGCCAAGGCCTACTTTAGTCTAACACTAACATTTTAGATGACTTACCTTGTCAGAGGTTGACCCTGTTCTTTGTAGCATCCTGCTTTCTGACTTAAGAATTTTTTTTTTCTGAGTGTTAGACGATCTTCAAAACATACTTTTTCCCCACAGCTCTGAAGGCTGCCTTACTTAGTTGGATTGTAAATGTTTTTTGATTGTATTTCTATTGATTGGTACTGTAAATTGCTGTCAACTCTTTCAGAAAAGCCAGGTAGGGAACAGACAACACAAGGATTACTTTATTTTTATAGCTTATATTGACTCTTGAAAGCCTGCCGGAGTTTGATCTTTCTTCATCTTCTTACAATAAACAGAATCAAGGTAGAGTTTCTTCTTTCTCAGGACTGAATTGTTATTGGTTGTACTTAACAGTTCTTATGTTTTCCCTGTTCAAGATCATCTCCATAAAATGGAGGGTTATGAATAATTGTACAAATAGGCAAATACATGTTATTTTCAGTGTGACCAATCAGATGCTTCTTGAGGGCTCTCCAGCAAGAACAGAGACATAGCTCTCTTCCCTTGTGGTTCCCCTAAAAGTGGTATAGGAATGCATGCTACAGATGTTTTACATGAAACTTACAAAATGAGATTTAAATTTTCCTTCCAGATTCAAAATTAGTCTGTTCGTAGAAACAATGATTATACCTAAGATCAATCTATGAATACAAAGACTATACATTTCTGATGTTAATACAAGAACACATTTCCCCTGAATTGCTTTTGACGTCGGTACCTGCTGCCTCCCTTGAGTTTATTTGTGGTGCTATTTCAAATTTCATTACAAGCAAAAATACATGGCATGAAAAAGCATTCAGGAAAAATAAATTACCATCTGTCAAATGTGGCTTAAAGATTTGGAAGAAAACTTCTGGCTCTTCACAGATTTTCACACAGTAGGGGAAATATGGACTCCTGCTGAGATGAGATTGAAAAAAACAGCCCTAAAGCAAGATTCTGTAGCGTACACCTAATGACTTTGTTTTCTAACTAGTTTTGGCTTGGAAGTTGGTTATTTAGAGTATGGTGTAGGGAGAGAAGGAGCAGAAAACAAAAGTCTGTGGTAATAGGTGGTGGGATTTGCTATGGCAGTAATTTGGAATGTATGAAAAGCATGTGGCAGCCATCCATATCACCCCACAGAGACCTTAAACAAATACACACATACAAACTCTGAATCCAAGACTTTTCAACAAGGAAGTTCTATTAAAACACCCACAGATTTCGAGTAAATGTAATCTTTTGTGTTTCTGGAACATGTAGTTTTTTAAAAAAAATTAATTCTAGCATTTCATAGCAGAGTTCATAAATAGTGCAATGATAATATGTATTTTCTGGGATCCTTTACCTGTAGGAGTTTGTCTCCTACTTTTCAGAAGAAAGCATAAAATGTTCTTCTTCTATAAGATATGCTCCAGCCAAGGAATGCTGCTTCATTTTGATATTGGTATTAAATAACCTAAATTGACAATCTTAGATATGGAAGAAACCCTCAGACTGGCAACCCAATTTATGACAGTAAGTTACACAGAATTAAGGAATTGTCTCCCAAACCTCCATTTTTTTATTCCATTGAATGTCTTAGGGCTTCTTCATGAGACCCTGGAACTTTTTTGGAGGTAAATTTACCAGGACACTTTGAAGCATTCTCTCAACAAGAATAGGTAGACATCAAACACACACACACACACACACACACACACACACACCACACATTTTAACCAGATACTATGATATAGATATGGAGTTGATCAGTTGGAAAATATAGTGAAAATTATTTATATAAATAAAGAACAGTGTCTTCTCAATTATGTTACTTTCTATCTAAGATGGTTTTGGGATAGGGATGCAACTTAGTAATTTTGTATAGGTTAACTCCCATTCCTATTACAATATAATTTTTTACCTTTTAAGATGTTAAAACCTTGTTTTTATGGGTGATTATTTTGAAAGTGTGCTAGAGAATTGCTAGATACTCTTTTTCCTTTGAAGAATTTAATTTCTTTTAAAAAGTTCTCTTAAACTCACCAAATATGATTATTTGTTGCTGTTAGTCTTTATAATTGCTGTATTAATATTCTTTATGTTTAATTAGGAATTGTTGGGTTGTTTCTAATCACAAAAAATAAAATAAGAATGATAAAGATAGTACTAATAGTAGTAAGCAGCAGTAATAAGAACTGCAATATATTTTTGCATTAAACTTTAATATGTATGGTAAGTCTTTAAAATAAACACTGATTTTAAAAATATGGACCTGAAACAACCAAGTGTAAAAAAGTTTTTAATGTTAAAAATAAATTATTTTTAAAAATGGATACCTTATTTTTTGTACATTTAGAAAAGATGGAGAAAACTGAGAATTTCTGCTGTTCCAGTTGGGTGTATTATAACATGTCCTAAAAATGTG